ATAAATCTCTGTTGCCTGATTAGCCTTGTTGCCCTAGTATCTCTTCTGTTTGTTTATTTGAGACTTTACTTATTAACTCTTGCCGCTTGACAGTTTACTCCCCAGTGCTTAAAACAATAAACAACTTATTGTCCCCCGCATTGTCTGTGGCTTGGGAATCTAGGTATGGTTTTGCCGGATGCCTCTGCCCTGAGGATGCAAGGCAGCAATCCTGGTGTCAGCCAGGTCTGCTGTCACACCTGCAGGTTCAAAAGGTACTCACTCACGTGATTGTTGGCTGGATTCACTTCCTTACCAGTTGTTGGACTGAAGCCTCAGTTTCTCATCAGCTGTTGGCTGAGGCCTCTTTCAGTTCATGTCTGTGTGGGCCCCTCCATGTAGCAGCTCACAACATGGCAGTGGCCAGCACAAACTGGCAAGATAAGAGAAGGCCAATAATAGGATGGAATCCAGAGTCTCCTTGTACATTGATCTTGGAAGTGCCATCCCGTCACTTTTGCTGTGATCTGTTCCATCACTAGGGGTCATCTTACGTGCCACCTACTACTTTTCTTAGGGATTAATTTTCTCAAGTGTCTAGTGATCTTTGTTTCTAAATCAAGGACCTTGAGGGTAGCTGGCCTGGGCTTAACACTGTGACTGTGAACAGGGTCTGTCTGTGCCTTTTGAGCTTATGCAAGCTTCCTTTTCAGGTATGTGGGCAGTCGGCAGCAAGGTTGGCTGGGGCTCTCCCTTGTCAGGTTCCATCCACTTTAGCGTGCTTGGGCGGAACCTGTGACTTGCTACCAGCAGCTACTAATGCTAAGTCACTTCAGTCGTATCTGACTCTGTGCAACCCAATAGACGGCAGCCCACCAGGCTCCCCTGTCCCTGGGATTCTCCAGGCAAGAACAATAGAGTGAGTTGCCATTTCCTTCTCCAACGCATGAAAGTGAAAAGTGAAAGTGAAGTCGCTCAGTCGTGTCCGACTCTTAGCGACCCCATGGACTGTAGCCTACCAGGCTCCTCCTTCCATGGAACTTTCCAGGCAAGAGTACTGGAGTGGGGTGCCATTGCCTTCTCCAGCTACTAGCAGCTAGTATATAGCAAACATGAGTGAATAGTGGCTTCTAGATTACCTTCTATGGCAAAGGAAAAGGGATTTTGCAGATGTAATTAAGGTCCTAAATCAGTTGATTTTGAGTTAATTGAAAAGGAGCTTTTCCTGGTTGGGCCTGACTTAATCAAGTGAGATGAGGGTGGAAGTCCCCCCCGCTTGCCCCCCGCTGCCCCGAGATCAGAGATGCTCTCCTGCTGGCCATGAAGAAGCAAGCTGCCTGAGTTCTGTAGCTGCAAGAAAATCCCTTTTTCCAATAGCCTGAGTGAACATGAGTGTGGGTTCTTTCTCATTCACGCCTCTAGAACAGAATGCACCTGGGCTGACACCTTGATAGCAACCTTGGGAGACTCTGAGTTGAGGATCCAGCTAAACTGACCCACAGAATCTATGAGATAATATGTATGTGCTGTTTAAACCACTGCATTTGTGGTAATTTGTTACCCAGTAGGAAATTCATACAGTGTGTTTGACTCCTAGTCCCTCATCAGTGCCTTTCCCTTTTGATCTCTGTCTTGTGTGTGCAGTGGATGTGATGTAAAGTCAAACCCTGCTCCCTGAGTCTAACCCCCTCATGAGGAGCTTTCTTCGGGAAGGTGGCCCGCTTTCTACAGAGAGCAGATCTTCGGCTGACTTGAGGACATGTCATTCTTGCCCGTTGGACCTTTTCTTTCTTTATCTTGTAAAATGGGAAGAGGAGGAACCTAACTTCCAGATGTTCTGAAGGCTCTTGTTTAATGAAAGACCCTGATGATCCTTGGTGTCTCCTGTCCTTTGTGTCTGTTGATTCTGGACGTGGAGCTTCTCTGGCCGCTCTTGGTGGGAACCATGCCTGTGCAGGAGGTCTGCATGTGCGGTTTCCTTCCTCTGGTCTCCCCACCATTCTGATTCTTCTTGGTTTTTCTCTTCATGGAATTTCATAAAACTTCTGGTCTGTTGATGACATGTTTTCCTGTTTTATAATGCTGTTATGGTTTCCTTCTTTAAACAAAAACCAGTTTGCCTAGCATTTCAGCAGGACCTTGGAAATGAAGCTATATCAATGATGAGTCTGCATGAATTCAGCTCTACATATTGGTCTGGACTTTTTCTTTTCATAGAAGAAAATAAATACTCTTTTGCTACCTAACACTGATCTAACATGTTTGTAATAAATTTGGCATATTTCTAATAAAACTGGTGAGAAAGGGTAGAGTTTTTATTATAATAAGTAATTTTCTCATGCTCTATTATTACTTCCCCCTTTAGTACCTAAAGCATATTTCTTTGAGGACCGTGTCTTTTTTTCTCCTTTCCCCCCCCTTCCCGTTTACACTTACACAAGCTTTCTTCCTTCTCTTAGGGTAATTTCTTAGGACAAGTGACTTAAAATATTGCTGACACTATGCTTTTTTTTTCCTAACACTAATGGCACACATGATGTAAGTGCTGAGACTGTTGAGATAACTGAACTAAAATTGTGATTTTTAGAATTGTCTTAAGACTCTTTTAGTTCCAAGTAAAAAAGTCTATTTCAAACTAGTGCGGGTTAGAAAGAGAACTTATTCCGTGGAAACTGCAATAGGATCTCACCAAACCCAAGGATCAAATTATATTCAGATATCATGAGGGTCTGGGACCAGAAACTAAATACCCAAAGATAATTACAGGAAGTTTTTACCTTTCTGTCTCAGACTTTTTCTTTCTTGTCTCTGTTTTTCTGAACATCTGCTTATTCTTTTTCATCTTTGTTTTGGCATGGGTGTGGCCAAATGTGACTGATCAATAACAGTGATCTGAGTTTCCAAGTTTATATCATCTCAGTTCAAGCAAATAAGTCAGAGGCACAGTCCCAGATTCCAAAGAGAAATAATCGGCTTGGTTTAGCCTGGCCCAGTTATCTCTTTTTAGACCAGTGCAGTGTGGTCATGAGGGCAGATTTTGTGGTATAAACAGGACTGCCACAGCCTGGGTTCTCAAAGAGGAGGTGGGGGGGTAGAAGCTATATCAAGGGGGCAGATATCTCAAAACTTATGTTATGATATTCTTGTTTATATCCAGTGTGCTGTTTCTCATTAGAGAGACAGTTTATCTTGTGGTTAAGAACATGAGCTTGGGGTCAGATAGACCTTGATTTGAATCCCAGCCCTGCCACCTATTAGCTGTGAGGATCAGATTCTTTCTCTGTACAACTGGAGTGATAAAGTCTGTCTCTTGGGGTTGCTGGGAGGAAGAGAATATATGTGACACATCCTACAAGCTCAGTAAGTAGTTATTATTTATTACTGTTATGACATCATATGGAAAAGATTATGAGAACGGACAAACAAACATTTTACCACCTTAAATAGCACAAGAAGCTCTGGAAGCAAAAATCTGGGTGCCACAGAGATCAATAAAAAAATCTAAGAGAGAATGTCCTGCTTTTCACACTTGGCCAATGTAGTGGAAACAAGTTAGGCTGATGAGGTCAGGGCCCAAGAATCTACACTTGTTTTTAGAATAAAGTTTTTGCCTCTATTGGTTTTGGAAAGTGTGGATTCAGAGGTCACGTAATCCTGAAGAGAGCCAGGCTGGTGGTACAGTCATCATTGTCTCTCCAGCCAGGCCCTCTTCTGATGGGTCCTGCATTCATTCTGCTTGGTAGTTGGTCTGTTCTGATTGGCTAGTGCCTTAACTGATCAATAACAGTGATCTGAGTTTCCAAGTTTATATCATCTCAGTTCAAGCAAATAAGTCAGAGGCACAGTCCCAGATTCCAAAGAGAAATAATCGGCTTGGTTTAGCCTGGCCCAGTTATCTCTTTTTAGACCAGTGCAGTGTGGTCATGAGGGCAGATTTTGTGGTATAAACAGGACTGCCACAGCCTGGGTTCTCAAAGAGGAGGTGGGGGGGTAGAAGCTATATCAAGGGGGCAGATATCTCAAAACTTATGTTATGATATTCTTGTTTATATCCAGTGTGCTGTTTCTCATTAGAGAGACAGTTTATCTTGTGGTTAAGAACATGAGCTTGGGGTCAGATAGACCTTGATTTGAATCCCAGCCCTGCCACCTATTAGCTGTGAGGATCAGATTCTTTCTCTGTACAACTGGAGTGATAAAGTCTGTCTCTTGGGGTTGCTGGGAGGAAGAGAATATATGTGACATATCCTACAAGCTCAGTAAGTAGTTATTATTTATTACTGTTATGACATCATATGGAAAAGATTATGGGAATGGACAAATAAACATTTTACCACCTTAAATAGCACAAGAAGCTCTGGAAGCAAAAATCTGGGTGCCACAGAGATCAATAAAAAAATCTAAGAGAGAATGTCCTGCTTTTCACACTTGGCCAATGTAGTGGAAACAACTTAGGCTGATGAGGTCAGGGCCCAAGAATCTACACTTGTTTTTAGAATAAAGTTTTTGCCTCTCTTGGTTTTGGAAAGTGTGGATTCAGAGGTCACGTAATCCTGAAGAGAGCCAGGCTGGTGGTACAGTCATCATTGTCTCTCCAGCCAGGCCCTCTTCTGATGGGTCCTGCATTCATTCTGCTTGGTAGTTGGTCTGTTCTGATTGGCTAGTGCCTTACCCCATGAAATACTTTAAATATGTACCATCAGTTCAAAGACTTCAGTTTTTATTAAAGAAGTTCCACTATTTTCTTAATAAAATAATAGATTTGCTTTGCATCTTTCTCATTTATATGACAAAGTTGTGAGTTGCTGCCTTCGTAAAATAAATTCTTCTAAAGGTTATGTAAAAAGGTGATGATTCAAAGTCTATATAGTTAAAGGATACAAAATGTAAGCCAAACATTAATGTTTACATAGAGTTAGTTAAGCTGTATGGCTCCTTTTTAAATAAACACAGAGTATGCTGTTCTATATGAAACTGTAGTAGAATAATATCTCAATGACTAACTGTAATTTTTTCTTAAGTTATGCAGACATTTTGATTGAGAGGGAAGTATTAATGCAGAAGTACATTCATCTAGTTCAGATCGTAGAGACAGAAAAAATTGCAGCTAACCAACTCCGGCATCAACTTGAAGATCAAGATACAGAAATCGAAAGGCTTAAATCAGAGGTATTTCCTAGTTGATAGACTCCTTCTCATTGTTTCATGTTTATTGTCATCTCCTCATGGTTACTTAGCGCCTATAGGGGAAAAATTCTGATCCCAAACTTAGTTCCTCTGCCATCACAGGTACATGAGAAATGAATTTATTTTCTAAGTTCAGTTCAGTTCCATTCAGTCGCTCAGTCGTGTCTGACTCTTTGCGACCCCATGAATCGCAGCACTCCAGGCCTCCCTGTCCATCACCAACTCCCAGAGCTTACTCAAACTCATGTCCACTGAGTCAGTGATGCAGGAATAGGTAAATATGTATAATAAAATATCAGGATAATGTGCTAGCTTTACATTATTTGTGCTCCTGATGTCCTTCATTTGCTCGAATATTCAAGAATTGACTATAGTATTTATCTGTTTTCAGATGGATTCATAGTAATGATTATTGTGAACCTGTCATAGATTCAGTGTAAAAGTCTGAATGACAGCTAAAGAAGGTCCAAACATGAAGTCAGGAAGTCTTTGCATTTTTTCTCAGTCTAAAGAGTCCAACCTTCTCCTCTGTAGAATTTTGAAAAACTCATTTGGGTTAAAGTATGTGACATATGCTAGGGTGCATTTTTTTCCTGGACTTGGAATTCCTGCCTCCCTACCTGCCCCATCCTGACTGCGAACTCCTCAGGCTCTCCACCCCCAGGGAGTGAGATTGACTCAGCTGGCCGTGGAGACCGCAGCTGTTGCGATGTTGTGGGTCCTCCCTTCTCCCCAAGGTGCCTCCGTCTGTATACAGAAACCTGAGTGCACCTTCCCTTGTTGTCCTGTCACCTCTTGTGGGAAGCGATCAATACCTGAAGAATTGCAGGGGAATGTAGAAAGCGAAGTTTTTCTACTCTTTCTGACCAGTGGAGCAATAGTGACCTCTTAGCTTCAAAGCAAAGAATCGGACAGAATGAAACCTACTGCTGATTGTAGCTTTGTCGATAGAAACAAACCAGAGGCTCCTCAAGCTGGGTAATTTCTTGTTTCTCTGTCACTCAACATTTTCATCTTCATTTCCTCACATCTTCTTTTGAGACTTACTCTGCAAATTCTGAGAGGGTTTTCACCTCCTGCTGCCCATGTACCTCACCTCCAGCAGACAGAGCAGGGTTTAAGCTGATATTCACATTGGGATCTGATTGCCTCTCTGAGGATGAAAAGTTGCAGACTGTTCACCATATCATTAGCGTTGTTAACTTCCCGATCCAACCCTGAAATCTGAGATAGTGAAAACAACAACAGAAAACATAACAAACCTGCATTTAAAAAGACTATATCAGGCACTGTAATTTAAAACAAAATTATTGTGTTCTGTCCTCGCCACAGTTAGCTAGAGCAGATGCTTGTCTGCTAAGTGAAAGAGGTTGGCATTTACTCCATGAGAGAAACTCAGCACCAAGCAGTGTTCCCCAATATTTATTTGTGTGTGCTTATCTGCCTTCACTATGTTCTTTTTTAGTCTGAATATATATTGCAGCTACAAACTGTCAGTAGCAGGTCTGTTTTGTGTGGTCGCTTGACAGGAGCCATAATTTATTTCCTACTCCTTTTATTTGCCCACTTCCCTGCCAGAAAAATGGCAGAGGAGAGTGTTTGGTAATGGGGACAAAAATGTAAAGACAGGTTGGATTGGGCAATTATGATCTCAGCGTTTTAAGTGTTTGCTTGTTGGTAAATCTGAATCAGTTCTTAAGTTTGCAGGAGCCTGCAGGTGAGTGATAGAGATTCTCTGTCCAAGGAATTTCATTGCTAAGTGTGGTTCTGAGGCTCCCTGGTTTTGAGTCACAAAAATGAGCTGAGGCTATAAAGAGATCCCAAGTGGTTTCAGCTCTTTTTGCCTTTTTGTGTCTTCTTGCCTGGCGTGGCCGAGCCCCTGGGCTCTAGAGTTCCCCTTGCAGTTACCATTTTCCTGAGGAGATCTGTGACCCTGCTGGACTGTGTGTGCAGGCTGATTACAGAAAGCACGAGCTTGGAGCTGAGTGTCACTGCATTTGGAGATCAGAGGGCTTTATAGGAAGCTGCCATTGATGAGACGCCTGACACACCACTGAGATGCTGAGAAGGCCTTGGTCTGGTCATCACGGGCAGTCAGGGTATAATTTTGGACTCACATTTCTATAACCCAGACCCCAGTTCACACTCTCCACAGTCACTTCTTATAAGCACTTTTGTTGTCAGCATAATAAGGCAAGTTTGGGGTAAAGTTCAGGCTTCCCCTGCCTTAGCATCAAATGAAGATAGTGTGCCTGAAAAGCGAATGTTTCCTGAGGATCTTGTAAGCATAACTTCCTGTGATATATGGCTTTAGCCTAGTGTTTCCCAAATCATGAAATGGACCAATTTTGTGTTACAGATTATCGCTCTTAATAAAACAAAGGAACGAATGAGACCTTACCAAAGCAATCAAGAAGATGAGGATCCAGACATCAAGAAGATAAAAAAGGTAGGGTTTCCAGCTTTGGGCGAGTGTGGTGGGGACCAGTTGTCTTTCTGTAGTGATGTCTTTGCCACCCTGACTCTGAGTTAAGAACAATCTAGGTGTTTCTCTCCCACTGGCTTCCTGACTTCCGCTTCAGAATTATCACACGTGGTTACATCCCTGGAAAAGCTTTGGCTTGAGATTTCTCTCCAGTTCTGGGAATCCTTTGGTGGATTCTGTGAGAAGGATGCCAAGGGTAGACATTAAGACAGTGGTATTCTCCATTTGGGTTATTTAAGTGCTGCTGAACTTTCTGGTGTTTGTGCTACTTTTATATTTTAAGGGAGTGTTTTTTAAATTACACTTCAGAAATGTTTCTTTTAGCTTTAGTCTTCAGTGTTTATTTAGAGAAGTTTATTTTTTTGAGCATGTGAGAAAACTGAGTGAATCAATACATCTGCTCAGGTTTCTGTCTTATTGTTGTTTCTTTCTTGTTTAACATCCACATAATCAGCAACTCCTTCCATCTTACTGTCACTTACAACTGGACAACTTCTGCAATTAACCAGACCCTGGCACTCTCTCTAGGCTGCTGTGTTTGATTGAAGGCATCTCGGTTTTGAGTTCCACAATCTTAGCTGTCCTGTGTAAAAGCACTGATTTAGCTGTGTTAATATTATGTTAAAAGGTGCACAGTTACAGAATTTTATTTCTTCTTAATTTTTTTCTTATTCCTGTTTTCCTGTGCTAGGTAATTATTCCCCTTCAGTTGCAATAAAACTTTAGATATTGCTCTGAATTTGAAATAGAAAAGCTCCTCAGGACTAAGTTGCACTGTTTTCAGTTTTCAAGAAATAACAAAGTAAAATAATAACATTTCTCTCTTAGAATTTGAGAATCTTTAAATTAAATTTGGTTTATGTTATTGTTATAAGATGAATGCTGTTGCCATTCTTTTAATAACATGCGGCTCCATATAAACAAAGGTATCAGTAGAATACAATTGTAGTACTGTCCTGTTGTAGAAAATGTTAACAAGTAAACAAGCTAGCTTTTGCATGGAAGGCAATATTGCTCAAGTAAATAGATTTTGTTTGTGTTAATCACTCAAGTCATGCCTGACTCTTTGCAATCCCATGTACTGTAGCTAGCTCACCAGTCTCCTTTGTCTGTGGAATTCTCCAGGCAAGAATACTGGAGTGGGTTGCCATTTCCTTCTCTAGAGGATCTTTCTGACTCGGGGATCAAACCCAGATCTCCTGCATTGCAGGCAGATTCTTTTATTTAACACAAATTCAGTTGATTTTTGAAAATACTTCTGTTAAATGGAGGAATAATGATAAAATACATTTTATAGTTTCTGTCTTCCTCTTTCATAATAGATATATTTTTTTAAAAACCTTACTTTTAAATTTGTTAACAGGTTTTGAATTTAACTCTATTGCCCTTTATGTCTCCAGTCAGACTAACGTCTCTGTGGAAAGGGATGTTTACAAATGAATTGTGCATGTGTGAGTTAGTTGCTCAATTGTGTCCAACTCTTTATCCATGGACTGTAGCCTACCAGGCTTCTCTGTCCATGGGATTTTCCAGGCAAGAGTACTGGAGTGGGTTGCCATTTCCTCCTCCAGGGATCGAACCTGGGTCTCCTGCACTGTAGGCAGAGGCTTAACCGTCGAAGTCACCAGGGAAACCCACAAATCAATTAGATACCCTATGCTGATCTTTGCAAATAGCAACATAATTTTTTACCTTCAGGAGACCAAAAATTGAAATTGGTTCACAGAAATTTCCCACATAATTTTTTCCACATAATTCTACTAAAATGTGTTTTTAATTTTTATTGCTTGACGTATGACAACTGTGTGAATGCCTATTATGAAAATTGATAGTGTGCTGACATCAGTTGGTAAATGAGACAGTTTTAAATATTGAAAAAGAAGAATAGTTGTTTAAATGCGTGATAATTGAGACCATATGGGTGAAATAGTATGAAAAAAAAGGATAAGAATGTGTTAAGAAGAAAGCAATGATACTAAAAAAAGATTTGATAGTAATTTATTGCTTTCAATTATATATGACTTTGCAACCTGCTTTGTTGGTTAATCTGCTTAGATGTAACAAATACTAATAAATTATTATATAATTTTTCTTATATTTAGAAAGGACTTCAGATTTTTGGGTCAGTTATTTTGTAGATAAGGAAATGGAGCCCAGAGTTCAAAGTCACCCAGTAGGTTATATGGCAGAGCCTTTGGGTTACGGAATATGACATATACCTCTCTGTTTAGCACTCAGCGTTTAACTGGGCATTTAAAAGATGTTCAGTAAATATTTGTTGGCTGAAATGCAAAGGCTAGCACACTTTGTCCAATTGGCCTGTTACTTTTCAAATCATATCTTGGGGATTCAGATCAGTTTTAGGGGCTTCCATCTTCCTACAACATTGATTTTAATTTTTATTTCTTATTTTTTTCCCCCACAAGATAACACCATTGTGAATGTTTAGTGTGTGTTTTTGCCCACGTAGCTGAGAAAGAGTCCTTATAGTTAACAAAAAGCAGGTAAAAGAAGGGCAAGCCTGGTTGCAGCTTTTCTGTGTGACTTAACCAAGAAATTTAGTTTACTCGTCTGTAAAAAGAAGGGGTGAGATGAGCTGATGTCTAACACTTTTTTTTAAGCTTAAAAAAAAACTCAAATAGCCATAACAAAAAAATCAAACCCAATTTAAAAACAGGCAAAGGACTTGAGTAGACATTTCTCCAAAGATGATACACATTTCTCTCAAAGATGATTCTTTAGAGGAATCACTAACACTTGAAAAGATGATCAACGCCACTAAGCATCAGGGAAGTACAAATCAAAACTACAGTGTAATATTATCTCACACCCATTAGGATGACTACTATAAGAAAACCCAAATAACAAGTACTGATGATGATATGAAGAAATTGGAACCCTTCTGCTCTGTTGGTAAGATTGTAAAATGGCTCAACTGCTATGGAAGACAGTATGGTGGTTCCTCAAAAATTTTAAAATAGAACTACCAGCAATCCTACTTCTGAATGTTTGTCCAGAATAATTGAAAGCAGGATTTTGAAGAGATACTTGCACTCCTATATCCATTGCAGCATTATATACAATAGCCAAGAGGTGAAAGCACCCCAAATGTTCATCAACAGAAAACTGGATAAACAAAATGTTATATATCTATATATACATACATATACAAAATGGAATATTATTCAACCTTAAAAAGAAAGGAAATCCTGACACATGCTACAACACGAATGAACCTTGAGGCCATTATACTAAGTGAAATAAACCTGTTACAAAAAGACAGATACTGAATGATGCCACTTATGTAAGTTATCCAAAGTAGTTAAATTCATAAAAACAGGAAGTAGAATGGGAATTACAAGGGGCTGAGGGAAGGGGGAAATGGAGAGTTGTTTAACAATTATTGAGTTTGAGTTTCACAAGATGAAAATGTTCTGGAGATCTGTATGTGCAACAGTGTGATTATACTTAACACTACTGAACTATACACTTGGAAATGGTTAAGACAGTAAGTTTTAGGTTATGCGTGTTTGTTTGGTTTTTCTCCTGCTATCTGGTCCAAACCTGACATTATTTATTCTGTGGTGGGCCCACCAGTGCTCCAGTGGAAGAGCACGATATATACGGCACAGGATGGACACCCTACTGACCAGCTTAAGAAGCCTGCCTCACCCCTCCCTGAGATTCACTTCTATTTTGTCGCTGCTGTTCTGTAGGTTCAGAGCTTCATGCGAGGATGGTTATGTAGAAGGAAATGGAAGACCATCGTGCAGGATTACATTTGTTCTCCTCATGCCGAAAGCATGAGGAAGAGAAACCAGATTGTGTTCACCATGGTCGAGGCCGAGTCGGAGTACGTTCACCAGCTCTACATCCTCGTCAACGGTTTCCTGCGGCCCCTGCGCATGGCGGCCAGCTCCAAGAAGCCCCCCATCAGCCACGATGACGTCAGCAGTATTTTTCTCAACAGGTTTGTCTTGGCATAAGTAAGGGTTCGTATGAGAAACCTATCTGTAGTTTTTAAAGGAAGTTTTACTTTACTCTTAAAAGAAGAGGTATCAGAAATTCACCTGTATGAGCTTATGGTATTGAAAATAAGAAAGCTATCATTGGTGTTTCATTAGTAGCCCACGTTTTCATATCTTTATCTTGTATGTTGGCATCTAGTTTTCTCTCTCTCTCTTTTTTTTTTTCTATTTGACATGGCTTTACCTACTGTTACCCCTCTGACATCTTGTCATTGTGTGTGTGGTGGGGAAGATTATCTCCTTCATAACCTGAGGGAAATGGGAGTGATTAATGGGTCCTCACATATAACATACACAGAAGTACTTTAGGAAGAACAAAAGTTAACAGAGGGCCCGAGGATCTCTAGTAAATTTATTTGCTCAATAAATATTTATGGTGCATTTACTGCTGAGGATTCACCAGTGAACAAAGCAGAAGATCCCTACCTTCATAGAACTTAAATTCTGATGTGGGAATATAGACAATGAATAGTGAATAAGTGAAAGATGCAGTATTTTATATTGTGATTAGTACTGTGGAAGATATAAAGAAGGAAAGGGGAGAAGGGAGAAAGGGGACTGCTAGGGTATTTTGCTTAACATTTTAGTTATTTATTTGTTTTTGAGTGCTGCTTGGGCTTCTAGGTGGTACTAGTTGTAAAGAACCCACCTGCCAATGCAGGAGACATAAGAGACCTGGGTTCAATCCCTGTGTCGGAAAGATTCCCTGGAGGAAGGCATGGCAGCCCACTCCAGTCTTCTATTTTACTTAACATTTTTGTTATTTATTTGTTTCTTAAGTAGATAAAAACATGCATTTAACCATGCATTTACATGGTTAAAAAAATTAAAACAACATGAGAACATCAAACAGCTTTGAATTCTGTCTCTCCCCACCCCATTTTCCTCACTTGCTATCTGTAAGTGTTTTCATTAGTTTTCTTTCTTTTTTTTTTTCCATTTATTTTTATTAATTGGAGGCTAATTACTTTACAACATTGCAGTGGTTTTTGTCATACATTGAAATGAATTAGCCATGGATTTACATGTATTNCCTGGTGCACTGGGAAGACCCAGAGGGATGGGGTGGAGAGGGAGGTGGGAGGGGGGACCGGGATGGGGAATACATGTAAATCCATGGCTGATTCATGTCAATGTATGACAAAAACCACTACAATATTGTAAAGTAATTAGCCTCCAACTAGTAAAAATAAATGAAAAAATAAAATAAAGTTATTCGTCTGAGTGTGATTACCAAGGGAGTAAGTACAAATGAATGACAGAGGAGGACCAAGGCCTGAGCCCTGGGATATTTCATCACTGAGAGGTGGGGGTGTGAAGAGCCACAGCAGGGAGGGAGGAAGGATGAACTGGAAGATTAGGGTTGACATGTGTACGCTGCCACGCGTAGAGGAGAAATGACCTAAATGGATGGGATTGGGGTAGTGGGATGGACGTTCAAGACGAAGGGCATATATGTATTCATGTAGCTGATTCACTTGGGTGCAGCAGAAATTAACACCACATTGTAAAGCAGCTGTACCCCTTCAAAACATTACAATGACGAGGATCAGCTAGGGTTGTAGGTCACAAACCAGGAGATGGGTTGTCCTGGAAGCCAGTGCAGGCAGGAACGAACAACTATGTCAGAAGGCCAAATAAAACAATAACTGAGAGCTGACTGTGGGTTTAACGACTTGGAGCTTATTGGCAATTTTGACGAGGGACCAAAACCTGATTTGGTGAGAAGGGGAATTGGGATTGGAAAGAGTTGGTGTAGAAAACTCTTTCAAGGAGGGTTACTATAAAGAGGATCAGAGAAACAGTGGTACCTGGAGGTAAATCAAGAAATATAAAGCTGTGTGTGTGTTTGTGCATGTGTTTGGATGGGATAAAAGTGACACCAACAGTGACAGGCAGGTGCGGGGGGGGGAGGGATATTGGAAAGAGAGGGAAGCATTGCTGGAGCAGGGTACTTGCACAGGCAGAATTGGATAGAATATGGTGAGCAAGTCAAGAGCATGACTTTAAGTGGGAGCATGGACGGGGAGGGAATAATACCTGGACACATAATGTGGTTAGGAATCAAGGACAGCAACTGACAGTGTTGATGGGAGGGAAGTGCTGGAGTCAGGGAAGAGAGGAAAAGGTGTGAAATGATAATCAAGGAGAACAGGGCAGTGAATGGATGAGGGACATGTAATATAACTGCTAGCATATTAGGCTTGTGGTTATGACTTTACAGTGAGACTAGTCAGGATGGTTTTATGTTGTTCTTAATCACCTTCAGCTGCATAGGTGCAGGTGTAGAGTGGGCAAAGGGTTGAGTTTAACTAGTATTGGTGCGTATGAGGCTAATATGATGAAGTGAAAAAGAAGGGAGTTGAAGGTGTGTGCAAGGAAGGGGTTATAACACTGAACCATGAGATCTAAACTATGGAGAAAGGGAAATGATGTTGTGAGGGGATTTTGGTCAGTCATAAGGCAGCAGGATCAATGGACTCAGGTCCTGATGGTGGGAAGGGATTTGGGGAGTCAGGTTTCTAAAGATAATGAACTCAAAGGTAAGGAGTTGGTCACAGAGCAGTGCCCCTGAAACTGAGATAAGGGAGGGGATGCGGTTATGAACAACGAGACGGTCTAGAGGAAGATTAAAAAAGTGTTGTCTGAGGTCAGTGGAAGACAAGACCTTTGGAGAAAGAAATTCAAAGACCTGAGAGAGGCCAGGCCGTTGGAATGTTGTTTGCGTGCATATTGGAGTCACCAAGAATTGTTTCACCTGTTTTCTAACTATTTAAATACCAAAATATGAAGGTAGATATGCCAGTTAGTTTTCAGTGTAGGAAAGAGGAACCTCCTCTGTTATTGGAGGGAATTCACTGCTTATAGGATCCTTTGGAAGGGCTGGAGCACAAGTCAGACAGCAGGCCTGGACCACTGAATTCAAGGGCACAGCACCACAAATATAACCCAGAGGTTAGAAAACTACTGCTTCCACCATTGCCATCACATCTGCCTCTCAGCTGTCAAACTGGTGCCTAGAAACTAGACCACTGAGGCTAGGCACTGAAATTGCCCCCAAAACACATGTGCATGACTGACTTTCAGTAACAGGAAGATGGCCTCTGCTTCTGCATTTCATATCTTACCATGTGCATCTATGGGTGGGACTGAATTTACATCTAGAACCCTCTCTGCAAGGGACTCTGGAAAATGTACTTTCAGCTCTCCATCCTCTCTACCTAGAAGGATGATGGAATGGAGATTGAAGGACTAATCTACAATACCTACCAAAGTAGATTTGGTTGAAATCCTAAAACAACAAACACTGCTTAGTTAACATTTCTATGAAAGAAAACAAATCACAGTCTACAAGGAGCATCTATCGTGTTTCCTGGGCCATTCATAGATAGTAAGGATTTCCCATTGATGTTTCTTGTTGTGAAATTTGACTTATAACAAACCCAAGTATGTCACTGACATGAATAATCCTGTTTTTGGTTGTGTCGATGTGTTAGTTCAGAAAAACCTTCAAAGGCTCGTTTCAGTAGGTTAATTCTAGTGAGGAGAAGGCAAATGTTACTTTGATAACTCCCCTTATTGAACCTTCTAGAAATTTGGATCTCTAATTGATGCAGTCTTCATTTTATATGTTTATGTAGGCTACAGCTTTTCAAGAAGTTTCCTTTACCTTTCTGGCATGAGGGTTTTAGGAGTGGTTATGGTAGAGGTCTGTCAAATCTCTTCCCCCTCTCCTTCTGTCAAAACTCATTTTAGTGTGAGAGAGAAACTTTGGCTGAGTTATCATCTAGAATTAAATCTGAAGAGAAGGATCTTAACTAATTTTCTGATTATCAGTTGAAGGGCTACATCCTAACAGTAGAAAGCTGTTTTTATCAGTATTATAAGTTGATAAAGAGGGTTATATGACAGTGATTTGGTGCTTACTGTCTTCCAGTATTTGAGGCTTAGCTCAGAATTTTTGTTGAGGTTTTCGGGTTGTTGAAAGATAAGTTGCTTTCTGGGGGCTGATATAATCCATGTTTTTATTGGTTGTATGGTTCAGAGGCCCTGAGGGGCACGTATATCATGTACTTAAGGCTTTAAGGACTCAGTGAACTTCTTGAACAAAATAGACACTTTCTAGTGATTAAATTATATTATTTTTTCCATTTTTTTATAGTGAAACAATCATGTTTCTTCACGAAATATTTCATCAAGGACTGAAGGCAAGAATAGCCAACTGGCCTACTTTAATTTTAGGTAAGTGCATGCTTTAGAGAGAGAACATTATCTCTTAATCTGGCTGCAATAAAGAGTAAAATAATTTCAGCGTTATTCATCCTAAGTTGTTTGAACTTCCCTGCTGACCTGGGAGCTTCTGTGGGTACGGGGACTCTGCCCTTTTGACCCTTTCCCCTGGCCCGTCAAGGTTCTTGGGGGACTAGAGTTGGGCTCTGCCTCGGGGTGCATCCTCCCGGGTCAGTCACTCTGGCCTCTGCGCTGGGCCGTGCAGCCTGACCCCTGGTGCCGGGAGCCGCTCTCTGCCATTCCCGCAGAGTGAACCGTCTCCCCCTGCCCCGTGGATAATTCACTGAGCACCGAGAGAGACGGCCATGTTTGCTTCTTCTTTCCAGCTGATCTCTTTGATATTTTGCTCCCCATGCTGAACATTTATCAAGAATTTGTGCGTAATCACCAGTACAGCCTCCAAGTGCTCGCCAATTGTAAGCAAAACAGAGACTTTGACAAACTCTTAAAACAGTATGAAGCCAACCCTGCCTGTGAGGGGAGGATGCTGGAGACATTCTTGACATATCCAATGTTTCAGGTAAGTCACCCAGGATGTGTCTTATAAGTCATTGATTCCAGCTCCATGCGACTGATACCCAGTGTGACCAGCATGAGATGTGCAGGTGTCCCCTGTGGGAGGTTGTGACACCTCCTCTGTCATCTTGAGCTTGACCCTGAGGTAAACAAATCTATGCCACACATTCTCTCCAGTCTGTCTAGTGTTTGTAAGAAAATCAGGCATTTTTGAGACAATTAAATCAGGAGTGATTTTTTTGTTGTTGTTTTGGAAATGCAGCACAAATTTCTCTCTGCAGAAAGATTCCTCACAGACCTCTTCCATGGAGTCTCCTCCTCCAGCGTGTTTAAAAATATTATTGGGTTTACAGAAATAGGCTGCCGTGCAAATGTTCCAGTGCGGGCTGGTTGCATAAAAGGTTCTGGGGCGGGGGGGTGGGGTGGGGGGTAGGAAGGACTGCTGGGAAGGTGTTTGTTTTCCTGCCCTGTTCTCGTTGCTGCCGAGTCTCTCTTGGCTGGAGCTCTGCAGAGCACAAGGAGGACCTTCCCTGTCACAGAGGCTGTGGGGAAACGAAGGAGCCAGAGGCCTTGGCCAGGCCTGGGGACTCCTGGCCCCTAATCAGGTTGCTCCAGTGAACCTAGGGCTTGTCCCAACCTTCACTTTTGGGGGTTAGAGCAACCAGAAAGATCAAGTACACTTGCATCCTTTCCTGTATCTAAGACTTCACCACTCTTTAGTGAGAGCTGCAGAAGCCAAGATGTGAATTGAATCTCCTGTCCTTTTAAAAAGTGTTGATTTTGTTCTTTTGGAAAAGCATTGAGTGTTCCCGTTGTGGAATTTGTGGGGCTTCAGTCCAGCCCTCCAAATTGTTATGTGGCAAACCGACTCTTCTAATCATGTGTGTTATGGTTTCTGTGGAGGGCTTTGTCCCTCCGAGTGGGTATCTCTGACCCCAGCTGATCATTTTCTAGCCTCCGAGAGAGAGGCTGCTCTGGTTCATAATTGTCTTAAAGTTTGTCACTCCTGCTTGAAATCCTGGAAGTCACTGCAGAAGTTTAGTAAGATTTTAAAAAACCAAAAGGATGCATGTGTAACAACTTAAGTATAGTGAAACTGTAATGCCGTTGTGTTTTTTCTTCACGATGGAACTGAATTGTTTAACTCTTTGCCTCTCTGAACAAATATTCCATAAGAGAAACTACAAAGAAAAAAAATGCTTTTTAAAAACCTTATACAAAATTATAATTTGAAATTTTGTTTGCAGTGAAACAAATTTTTATTCAATGTTCTGAGATTCTATTTGTATCTTTGGCAATTAGCTCTAGGTTATGATTAAATTCTCTAAATCCTGTCTGCCTAGGAACCCTCAACTCAGGTGTATAAACAAAGGTAGGGTTGTGAAAGATGCATGGAACATTCAGAGAGGAACCTCACTTCCTTCCTGAAAGCCCACGAATGCCTTTTCAAGTATTGTTTATTTCCCTTGGGGTGAGTCTCTCAGTGGTTTAAAATGGAAGACCTGTACTTGAATTTTAGGTCAGGTGTCCAAACAGTTGAATGTAGGGTCTTGGAAAGGCCTTTGGATTTCTTAAAAACGCTGAGATAGTCTTCTTCTAACCTTCTTTTCTCCCCCTGGAGTTTAAGCCCAATAACAACAACTTGGCATTTTGATTGATCCCAGGGAATGAATTCCCATAGTGTCCGGGTTGGGAGTATTTGGGAGACCTGCCTGTCCTGCTCTCCCTTCAGTCATAGCATTGGGAAACATAATTGAACCAATCTGAATTTCTGTTTCTTAAGTTTGAAATTGGGACAGTTGATCTCTATATATCTCCCAGAGCCCTACCTCTCTGGGGGACCAGACTAGAAATTTGAGCTGGCTAACTAACTAGCCTTCAGATCCCACCCTCCAGATCCTAGAATTAAGCTGAAGGGTCAGATGTTGAGATTGTTTGTTTTTTTTTAAGACTAGGGTAACCAGTGGGTGCTGAAAGAACCTCAAACTTAAAAGAATTTAGCCAGAATTGGTGCAGCTGCAAGAAATGTGCAAATTGAAAGAGCGCTGAATTCTGCTTTTATTTATTTGCTTCTCCAAAACTGTTTTCCTTCTCTGTAGCTATTTTGAACAGACCAAGAGCAGAAAACATTGGAGTTGCTGCCCAAACGCCTTGTTCTACCTCCTGCCTTCTTCCTAAGAGAGACCATGTAGAACACTTGAGGAAAAAGTGCCCTTTCTAGAAACTTGAAGGTTTTTCTTGCTAGGTTCATTCTGTACTTCTTGTTCCCTTTTGGTCCTTTCCCTGAGGTGTTTGCTCCCTCAGATGGTCTGCTTCCCTCTGCATACTTTGTATTAGCAGTGGTACTTCTGCACATCCACCTTGCTCCAATGTAAGCTGGACACCTTGGGATAAGACTGGGGTGTGATGCTTTTTCCCTTAGATCAAGAGTGGAAGAGGTGACCTTAGCTCATACTGCCAAGAGGCCACTACCAAGTCTAGATATGGAGGCAAAAGTTGTTATCAGGGCCTAAGGAGGAAGAGAAGTAACTGGAAACTTTTAGCCTGTGTATATTTAGAGAAGTGTTATATTCCACCTCTTCTGGGCTGTTTTTTGAGTAAATCAGTTGCTACTGTGAGTGAATTATGCTGAACTATGGAAGCATGGCGGAGAAGGCAATGGCACCCCACTCCAGTACTCTTGCCTGGAAAATCCCATGGACTGCGGAGCCTGGTGGGCTGCAGTCCATGGGGTCGCTAAGAGTCGGGCACGACTGAGCGACTTCACTTTCACTTTTCACTTTCATGCATTGGCACCCCACTCCAGCGTTCTTGCCTGGAGAATCCCAGGGACAGAGGAGCCTGGTGGGCTGCCCTCTATGGGGTTGCATAGAGTCGGACACGACTGAAGCAACTTAGCAGCAGCAGCAGCATGGAAACATGGAGGAATTATAGTGAATTTATCCTTAATTGATGATGCAGTGAATTTATCCTCAATTGGACTATTAATATCAGACAAGTAAGTTTGTGTTATCAAGATATTTGTTATAGACAATACGGTAGTCATTAACTTAATTTTTATGTAGCAAAAACAGTGGTTTGGCTAGTACTGTTTAAATTGTCTTCAGCTGCTCCTGTGTCCATAGATGAGCAAATCATGAAATCTGCTTCTGACAAGGACAGTGCTGTTAGAGGTCCTCCAGGAAGTAGCCACTTGCCGCTCTACTTACCTATTTAGTGTAACTAAAGAGCAAGTTAATTAGTGTCTAAAAGTGACAAGTATTATTTCATAATTGAAAGAATTATGATTCATATAGACAATCCTTACTATGATCCTTGGGTCTTGGGGGGTGTGTGTGTGCGCCCTCAGTCTTATCTGACTCTTTGCAATCCCACGGACTGTAGCACACTAGGTTCCTCTGTCCATGGAATTTTCCAGGCAAGAATACTGGAGTGGGTTGCCGTTTCCTACTCCAGGGGATCTTTCCGGCCCGACCCAGGTATCGAACCCTTGTCTTTTACATCTCCTATGTCTCCTGCATTTGCAGATGGATTTTTTTTTNGTGGCTTTTTTTTTTTTTTTTTTTTTTTTAACCACTGCACCACCTGGGAAGCTCCAAGGTCTTTTGGGGGACAGATTTATAATCAGTTCTTGAATATATCAGATGAGCTCTTTGGAGCGCTGTCCATTTCTCTCTGAAGAAGTCCTTCGCCTGCTTTTTGGTAGTTTCAGGCTTATCTGTTTCTCTACCAGAAAGTGAGATGGGCCAGTTACTTTCAAATCCATCCACTTGACACTTAGCCAAAGAACTTTCTAAAACAGATTTAATGATCGGGGGAGGATCATGAAGCTATTGACTGAGCTTAGTTTTGTGGATTTTCAGAACATTATAAGCAGTCAGGCTCTCCCACTCCTGCCCTCCACTTGTTATGAGAAATTGAGTACCTTATCTATTGATTGCCTTGATTTTCTTGTAGAACTACCAACTTAGAGGCAAACTCTTATCAGTCATGGCATTGTAAAAAAGGGATATTTGAAAGCATACTTATCCCAGCAGTCTTCACCAAGCGGAATGGCCCAACCAACTGTCTTAGTGAGAAGTTTATGGGGTAGAGGGGCACACAGCCTCCTCCCATGAGCTTCAGAGGAAGGGTTCTCTTGTGACCCATCCTCCTATAACTGAGGATACTTCACTTCCAAAACTCTGACTTGATGACAGTCTCTAGGACCTGACCCCAGAGTATGAACTGCTGATAGATGTCTATACTTAGGGCACTGCCCTCTGTACCCATGGGTAATCTGGGTGGGTATGCTGTAAATATTAGCAAATGACCCACTGAAGGCAAGAGAGGAAAAGCAGATTTGTAGATAGAGCTGCCAATGCCTCAGATCAACATGGAAGGAGCTACCCACAGAGTCTTGGGAAGCTGCTTTACTTTCTTCATTCTTAGAGGTCCTTTCAAGGGCTGAGTAAGATCCCAGTCCCTGCAGAGACACCCACTAGACTAGTGCACAGATCAGAGCTGGGCTCATGGTTGGCTCTGCCATTTACTGTGAGGCCACTTTGGGCACTTTTCATGCCTTGTTTCCTTGTCTGTAAAGTGGGCAAATAATCCTTATGTTTTGTTGGAGGATTGGATGCAAACCTCAAACTCCCAATCTGACCCATAGCGGGCAGCGTTATGGTAGCTGTTGTTCATGTAGATTTTTATTAAAATTAAACCCACTGCCCCTGTTTTCTAACAATTTTTAGTTTATAAGCCAGTAAAAAAATATGTTGCGTTAAATCAACATGTTTAACTTGAGTTAAATCTTCACTGTGTTCTATTAAATCCTCCACAGGGTTGGTGGTGTTTCTGACTTTGAAAGAATTCAGATAGATAGTCTGTTCATTAATAAAAGTACAAACAATAATCTGGGTGGGTATGCTGTAAATATTAGCAAATGACCCACTGAAGGCAAGAGAGGAAAAGCAGATTTGTAGCTAGATCTGCCAATGCCTCAGGTCAACATGGAAGGAGCTACCCACAGAGTCTTGGGAAGCTGCTTTACTTTCTTCATTCTTAGAGGTCCTTTCAAGGGCTGAGTAAAATCCCAGTCCCTGCAGAGACACCCACTAGACTAGTGCACGGATCAGAGCTGGGCTCATGGTTGGCTCTGCCATTTACTGTGAGGCCACTTTGGGCACTTTTCATGCCTTGTTTCCTTGTCCGTAAAGTGGGCAAATAATCCTTATGTTTTGTTGGAGGATTGGATGCAAACCTCAAACTCCCAATCTGACCCATGGCGGGCAGCATTATGGTAGCTGTTGTTCCTGTAGGTTTTTATTAAAATTAAACCCACTGCCCCTGTTTTCTAACAATTTTTAGTTTATAAGCCAGTAAAAAAATATGTTGCGTTAAGTCAACATGTTTAACTTGAGTTAAATCTTCACTGTGTTCTATTAAGTCCTCCACAGGGTTGGTGGCGTTTCTGACTTTGAGACAATTCAGATAGATAGTCTGTTCATTAATAAAAGTACAAACAAATGATATAATTAAACAATACTGCTTACTGCTAGAAGGATGAGTTGAGGTAAAGCAGGATCAGAATGTAATAAGGGTAAACATATCTTTTCCCACATTTTGATTCTTAAAGAGAACATTGCAATAGGATTGTCAATTAAAAAATTGTAAACAGACAAATAAATCTAAAATACAGACTCAAGTGACTTGCTGATAACTATATCTTTTCCCCTATGAACCAGTTTTCAAAAATTATGATTGAGAAATGTATGATTATATTAAAAATCTAAAGAAACAGTTGTTTCTTTGTGCCTTATTATCTTCATGTGTTCTTGGTGAAGTTTTTGCATGTGTGAGGTTTGAAACATAGTTCATTTTAAATGTATTTCTTAAAAATATTTGCTTGTGGGGCTTCAAACAAATGTTTGAAGTCTAATATTCAAACTGAGTGGTCCAGTGGCTAAGACTCCGCACTCCCAATGCGGGGGGCCTGGGTTTATCCCTGGTCAGGGAACTAGATCCCACAGGTGCAGCTAAGACCCAGTACAGCCAAATAAATAACTGTTTTTAAAAATATATATTTGTAAAACAGTCAGACGTGTCAGAGTAGAGATGAGCTCTTCAGAAGTGTGATGGCACAGTAGAGAAGGTCTAGTGTTCCTCATCCGGCCCTCCTGCTCACGCTGGCCTTGATTTGCTTCTAGATCCCCAGGTATATCATCACGCTTCATGAACTCCTGGCTCATACACCCCATGAGCATGTGGAGAGGAAAAGTCTGGAGTTTGCGAAATCCAAACTAGAGGAACTGTCCAGGTATGTGAAGAATTTATAATGAAGACTTGTTATGGCAAAGTAGCATGTTAGTCTTTTGTGAAGACCTAATGTAGACTCTGGGAGCTGGTGATGGACAGGGTAGCCTGGCGTGCTGTGGTCCATGGGATCTCGAAGAGTCGGACGCGACTGAACTGAACTGAATGTGTATATCCACGGGAACAAGAAGCAAGACATAAGCCGGCTTCTCAGATTCCCCTGAACATTAAATGCTAGCTTCTAAGATGGTGCTAAATCAGCATGCACATTAATTTTAACCAAGAAAAAAATTATATATATATATAAAATTTATATAATAATTATATATATAAAATCTTTGAAAATGATTTTATCTCATTTAAGTTTATATAATTGAGATTAGACACATTTTGGCTTAAGTTTGAAAAGATTCACATTTCTTTCATTATAATAGGAAAATGGTTAGTTGCGTTTTTGTATTCATATTTGGTAAGAAGTTGGAGAATGTATATTTTTGATTGATCAGTGACTTTTCAGTGTTTCAGGCATTTCTTTACAGCTGTGTTCCTTTAACTTATAAGGGATAAATATAAATCATATATATAGTATAAAGGTCTCTAGTTTGCTCCACCTCTAAGAAACGGCATCCTAATTTCAATGAAAGAAGCTGTTTGTAAAATAATGTGTTGCTTTTCCTGTTGAATTTATAAGCAACATTCCCAGAATACTCCATTTGCTTTGCTTTGAGTCATGACTTGAAGGTTAGAAGTCCAGTGTGACTTACCCTACATCTCCAGTTAAACTGTTACAAGGTCAAACCCTTGCTTCCCAGATGGAGCTCTGTTGCTCACCTACTGGGATAATAGAAGATCTCTCATTGCGGTCCTGTATGGTATTTGGCAGGGTCATGCATGACGAAGTGAGCGACACGGAAAACATAAGGAAGAACCTTGCCATAGAAAGAATGATCGTCGAGGGCTGTGATATCTTGCTGGACACCAGCCAGACTTTCATCCGCCAAGGTAAGTCCTTGCTCAGCAGACCCACCAGCCGAGGGGTCTCTGTACCTGTCACGTTATCACAGGCAGATCCAGGAAAGCATTGTGGAGCAGGCTTGATGTAGCTGTTTGATTGATGCTGTTCGTGCAGGACGTCCCCGTGGCCTTGACCGAGGCTGTGGTTGAGGCCCACCTTTGTGCTGTTTCTTTTCAGGGGCCATGAAAAACAGCAACACAATAATAGTAAAGCACGAGTGGGACAGTAAGTTACACTCTGACTGGACCCTCCTGCTCACTGGACCGGACATTCTCTACAGCTCCAAGGAGGACAGATTGGTCTGGCCGATTGGAGTGGCAGTGCCAGGTGGTGACGACATCCAGGCAAAGGCCCAAGAGAAACTTGCCTTACTCAGAGCCCTTTCCCATAGGAGAGGGGACAATGTCCGCAGTGAAAACAGCTGTCTCTTGTTCCCTTTTTTCATCAGCACTTCCGGATCGGCCCCACATGATATGACTTGATTCAGTTGGTAACTCCAGTTGCTAGATGAAATGTCTCAACTTGCCCTGCCATACTTTGGCGATGGCCAAGGTATCATGTTTGAGGGGTGTGCTTTGGGGGCATCACCCAGTAAATTAAGCTTTTGAAGAGTGAAAGATATTTATGCTGGAAACTGTAGAGAAGCTACGCCATGACAGTGCATATTCCTCTGTGGTTCTCATTACGAAGTACATGAAGTAAACCACACTCGAAATTCCTTGCAAGTGCATAGGGGTCCTGGGGGAGAGGAACATGCCCTCACAGAGTCGATTTCAGGCAGTATATTGCACACAGTCATAATTTTGAACTTGGGGAAGAGTGGCATATAAATTTGGAACTAGAATTAACCTTTAATGTGGTTTCTGTTTGTAACGTGCCAATATTAATTGACGATAATTGCATTTCTAGTGCCTACCAAAATGTGCTGCCTGAAACATTTTTTTTACCTCATCAAACAAGACATTATTTGTGCTGCACACATTAATTTTTGCACAGAACACTTACAAAATTTAACGCATGCTGTTCTATTTTCCATTATTTATTTACAAGGAGAGAAATCACACATATGTTAAAGTTTGGAAGTATATTTCAGGATATGATACCTTTCTCATTTTTGACTTGAAGTATTAATTTTCCTTTGAGTAATAGTGGACTATAATGCTGACAGCACCAGGCCTTCCTAATTCCCCCTCCAGTCCTCTTCACAGACTGTGTCCCCATATTGGCTTCCTGCCTTCCTGGCATTGTCTGCCTCTGCATCTTTACGTGTGTAGGCCTCAGCCTGGGGACCAGGGATCCCCTCATCCATGTTTCTTGTGCCTGTGGAAGGTCCTCTTGTCCTGCCAGGCTCAGATCAGAGCCTTTTAAATTTCCTTTTAAAGAGCCTTTTAAATTTCCTCCTCATCTTCCCCTCTTCCCTCCAGTGCAGACGAGCTTACCTCCCTCCTCATTTCCAAGCCCACTTGCTCCTGGTGGCTGCATTTCGTCCTCTTGTACGTGTATGCTTGCCTGTCTGTCCCAGTAATTGTAACTCTGAAGGGCAGTATTTATGAATTCTCTCTTGCCTAGTACAATGCTTTCCATTATAGATACCTGGAAAACGGACAATGGATTAAATTGAATTGCTTGTTGAACTGCAGTTTTGAATGTCAGCTGTCTTGTTTTGTATTTTTCTTATGTTTGGAGTCCCCCGAAAAATACTTACTAAAGGACTTGAGCTTTGTAATATGTGAAAATGGAAACAAAAGTTTCTATAACTAGTATTCAATTTCTGAAAGGACTTTGGATTGATGAGTATTATTATTACATGTAAACATTTAATATATTTCTAAGTTGGAAAAAGCATCTATGATGAAAAATGCTGGAGGGTTGAATCCAGTGAAGAAATCATATTTTTTTTTCCTTGCACCAGAAAAACCGATCATGCGCTACCTCTCCCTTTGACTCATGTCTGGATTTTATTTATTGCTTGTTCTGTACCACATGTTTGAGGCACTTTTGTCAGTTATTAATATATCTGATGTTATTGATGTATTGACATTGATATTAATGATTTGCCTTTCAGGAGTATTTTTCTGTGTTGTTTGGTTTGGTTAGTATGTTTGGGAATTACTCAATAAAGGTGGTTTAAAAAGAAACCAGACCTTAATCTGAAAGTAGAAAGTAATCCAGTTACAGTCAGTTTGGAAAGTTTGTGTTGTTTTGCCTTGCTTCCTACAATTATTACTTTTTTACTAGATGCTTTCAATGCATGAGTGCCAACATATATGCATACATATGTGTGGTTTCAGTCTCAAAATGAATTTTAATTCTGAGGACTAGAAAAAATAAGGTCATCTGAAAGCTCGCCTCTGAATAGGGGTGATAGCCAATCTTGAATGTCAATCTGTGGGAATTTATTGATTGAAATAGCTTCTTTTATTATAAACTGATTCCAGTTACTAGATAGTTGACGAGTGTAATGCAAAGGACTGTGTCATAGCAGTGTTCTGACATTGTCATTTATTTTCAAAATCTTTTCAGTTTCTTGAGCAAATGTTGACGTGTTTGAGGCAATAATAGAAAGTATAGCTAGCTGCATCATGGAGGTCAAATCCTGTCTCCTCCTGTTCCTTGCTGTGTGATATTGGACAATTTAGTTAACTTCTCAGCCTCAGTTTCCTTTCTTTGTTGTGGTTTAGTCAGTATGTTGTGTCTAACTCTTTTGTGACCCCATGGTCTGTGGCCCACCAGGCTTCTCTGTCCATGGGGTTTTCTAGGCAAGAATACTGCAGTGGGTTGCCATTTCCTTTTCCAGGGGATTTTCCTGGCCCAAGGATCGAACCCGCACATCCTGCATTGGCAGGCAGATTCTTTACCACTGAGCCACCAGGGAAGCCCCTTCCTCTTTTTAAGTGGGGTTAATAGTAGTACCTGTCTTTTAGGGTTGTTGTGAAAATTAAATGTTCATAAGAATGACTAGACTAGAGTCAGTGAGATTATGACATAAACTTTAAAAACCAAGATCTAAATTTTGGAATAAGTTTCCATTTTCAATAACATGAAATATATATGAATATTTATTAGAAGATAAAGGCACTGTAAGTTGACATTTTGTGCAGAGTCCATCATACATAGTCATCATTGTCTGGTAGAAAGGTGAATCAGGAAAAGTAAATAGAGTGACTGAATTTAAAGCTAAATGCATTGAGAATGAAACGTGAACCTTTCTGGTACTTTAATCATTCCCAGACTCAAAATCATATACTTTGAATGTACCAGTGTTCTTTGAAATTGTAACATGGGGTCTGGAAGTAATTATACCTATTCGAATGCCTAATCCAATAACCTGGAAATTGCTCTTCAGTCTTTTCAAACTACTGAATGGAATAAGAATAAGGGCATTAGCCAGTCTTGACTGTCACACCATGAGAATTTAGTGACTGAAAACCAAGTTTTTTTTATAAGTTGACCCCAGTTATTAGATAGACTGATGACGATGGTGATGCAAAGGATCATTAAGACTAAATGATTTCTCTTATTTGTAATAACTAGAAAGGAATCTTCAAGTCTTATAGTTGTGTTGAAACATCATGTCAAACATAAGATGAAATGTGAAAAAAACCCACTTAACATATTTTTCAATATTATTTTATAAACCAGTGTTGAAATTGTTCACTTCTAATTCAGATGTACAGATTTCTGTGCATACCTAATGCATATAGTCTCCTATTTGGATCTGAGATGAGCAGTTATAGATTAGGCATATTAGTGTATAGTTGCCAAGGAAACATTTGGTTTTTTACCTCAAAGCTAAAATTCACAATAATGACTAATACATGAGTTAACAGTATATTTAAAAATTTCCAACTTACAAAATCATTAAATACTAGAAGTATTTACCCACGAACACATTATTATTCAGTTTTCTTAGCCTCAGTTATATCCTTTCTGAAAACATCCCTCAAACCCACTTGTCCACCTGTCTCTGCTGCAGTCTTCCGCTCGGCCCTAACCCATCTGTCTGGATGACTCATGACCGCCCATGGCAAAGCTAGAACTTACTGTCTTTTCCCATCCATTCCCTTTCTGATTTTCAGTTTTTATGTTGCTGAATCCACCGCCATCTCCTGGCCAGGATAACCCAGGTCCTCTGAAAGATCTCTGGCTTTGATTCCACCAGTGGGTCTCATGAGTACAGTCCTTCTGCGGCTATTACTCCTCTAAGCATTCTGCCTTCTGCTTTTTCATCTTTCCTTTATTCCTCATATTTGATTACTTGCTGCCTGTGCTCTCTGCCAGTTTGCTCCCACCGACCTCTCTTCCTTGTTGCCCATTCCTATCACTGGAACCAAGCCCTTTCCCGCCCCTGTTCCCCAGTCCCGCACCCTCCCCCAGGACTACCTCTGTGTTATTCTTTAGGCACCAAATAGATGATGACTGCCTTTGTCAGGCAGCCCTCTTAAACACTCACCTGAATGGGTGGCGTTCAGGGACCCATAGAAATTTGGGTTCTTTTCCTCCTGCACATCTTTAGATCTCTGTGAAGGTAGGTACTGTTTGGAATAGACATATGTTAATGTAAGTGTTTTGTGACCCGCAATCATAGATTTACTATTCCAAAAATACATTTAAAAAAAACAAATCAGGAAACCTAGGAAATGTATGAAGAGGAAAATAAAGTTGCTCACAGTCTCATCTCTTAGTGATGGCCAGTGTTCATAACTAAGTGATGAATATTCATTTAATAGTTCTTATGAGGCTGATAGGAGCCTTTGTAAAGCTGCATTTGGGATAGGTGGTGAATGACACAAATAGTAGAAATAGTACTGGCTCAGGGCATTTCAGAAGGCAAGGTAGTTGTAAGCATCTTTCTTAGTGATTTTTGGTTTTGATATTTAAATTAGAATTTCCTTTTAAGAAGAGCAGGAGGTCATAATTAGAGTGAAATTATATAAAATCTATGCTTAGCTTCTTGAATGGAAGATAGTTTCCCTCACAGGAGTGTTCTGCATATAGAATTTAGGTGGTTTCTTTTCCATGTAGATTTCACAAAGAATTTTTATCACGTATAATTTAAATGTAACCTGAAATAACTGCCCTTTAAAAAGAGCCCTTCGCTAAATTGTGTTGAATTGCATAATCTGTGTATTTTTATAATGTACATTTAAAAATGTACATTATAAATGTACATCATGTTTTTAAATACAAAGTAGGCTATATTAATGCTATTTATCTACCTTCATTGCTTTAGGAAAAACAAATTTGACTTGCTTTTTATTATGTTGTTTTATTACTATATGTAATTATACAATATGTACCCTATTCTTATGTAAATAAATTGATAAAGATCAGATTATGAAGGACAGATGGCAGAAGTGTCTCATGCTTTGAATTCAGTATGGCTTTGTTTTAAACTTATTTTCCAGCTTATATATAAATAATCAAATCTAAAGTGTTCTACAGAAATAGTAGGAATTGGTGTGACTCTTACAGCATAGCAATACGTTGTTTCTTCTGCTCAAAGTGCAGGGGATTTGCTTGTTCCGATGGTGCATCAAATAATCCCTTGGTATCTTGGGAAACAGGCCCTGCTGTTTTTGCATCAGGAACTACTCTCACTTGACAGAATTTTAATTACTGTGTGTTCTTCACTTTTGTGATCACCAGGTTCTCTTATTCAAGTACCTTCCGTTGAGAGAGGGAAACTTAGTAAAGTTCGCCTGGGTTCATTGTCTTTGAAAAAGGAAGGAGAAAGACAGTGCTTCTTGTTTACAAAACACTTTTTAATTTGTACAAGAAGTTCAGGAGGAAAGCTGCATCTGCTCAAGGTACTGGTTTTACATGACTATTCCATTTATGTTCCATGCACTTGAGAGGCATTGAGGTTAATTTAATTATGACTTTCCCATGCCTGCTATCATAAAATAGGTTATTACAATATCATGGTGAGGTAATACACAGTTGCCAACCTTGACATTTACTTTGTTGTCAGTTAAATCCAAAGTAATAGAAATTTAAGTGCAATTGCCATAAAGAAGGGAAATTAAAATCATAACCTGGACAAAATTACTAGTTGTTGACTGAGCTCAAAAATCTTGTCAGATGACTGCAGTGTACTGATTGTGTAATATTCGCTAAATGCTATATTATCTTACTCAGTACCAAGAGTGAGAAAACTACTGCCCACAGCTTGCTGCGTCTTTTTAATAATAAAGTTTTATTGGACCACAGCCACAACTCATTTCCTTTCTCATTGTACCTGGCTGTTTTCATGCTTTTTAAAATGGCAAATTTAAGCGGTGGCGATAGAGATCATACGGCTTGCAAAGCCTAAAGGATTTACTAGCCAGCCCTTTACAGAAAAAGTTTGCCTATCTGTACCTTCTGTTATTAATGCCTGAAAATATTATCCAGCATGACGACACCAGAGTTCTACTGCTTAAGTCACTTACTGGTTGTAGAGCTCTACCCTTTACTGAGCTGCATTCACTCTGTGGGGCCTCTGAGGTTCCATATAATCTCCCATAGACCGACTCGTTAAATTTTACAGACATTGGGAGTGAGAGTCAGATGGTGGGGAAGAATCATGACGCTCAATGAATTCAATTACTTTTACACATTTAAATTTAATTTTGAGCTCTATGAAAAATTAGTTTCAAAACGGAATTGCTGTTTCTTCTGTGGCAGTTTGAATATAAGGTTTACAAATCACAGCTTCCCAACCTATGCAAGACTCTTAGCCTCTAAATGAAAAATTGGTCTGTTTCCAGACAGGTGGAGTTCTGTCTCTAATAGAATGTACCTTGGTCGAGGAGCCCGATGCGAGCGATGATGACTGTAAGTCACATTCTATCTCTTAGAATTATATTAGCATTAAATAGTCCTTTGGTTTTTATTTGTTGATAGCTAAGAAGAGCTGCTTCAGGAGACAGGGAAGATATTAAGAATAAGTTCCCGGAATTCATTTATATATGAAAAATTCTGTTGAACCATTTAACCTGTAACCCCAGTTAAGCCATCTTTGGAAACTTGCATTTTACTGAATTTGTCTTGTGATAGTGATTTTGCAGCGGCAGAGAAGAAAGTAATTGAATTAGAATGTTGGAATTCTGTAATTTATGGAAAATTTTTAAAAAGCCATGAATTGACAAGGAGAACAGGACCGTAGTCTTGAGTAACCCACTGATCTTAGCTTTTTCATCTGCTTATGAGCTTAACAAAGCCGTCCCTATGCTTGAGGAAGTACTGGATCACTAAAGGGAGATTCTGGACTTAAACACACGTTGGTTGTATTACTAGGACCTTGAGAAAGCAGTTATCACTCGTGTTTTTGTATTCACATCTAATTGTTTGGTTTACGTGTGTTGAAGCCAAAGGTTCTGGCCAAGTGTTTGGACACTTGGATTTCAAAATAGTGGTGGAGCCTCCTGATGGTGCCCCCTTCACTGTGGTCTTGTTAGCACCTTCCCGCCAGGAGAAAGCTGCCTGGACAAGTGACATCAGTCAGGTAAGCAAGTGACTTTGGCCCCAAGTTGGTTTTTGTGTTTTAAATTTCACAGCATAAGCTTTGGGGATGCAGTTTTAGAGTCAGTTTATTTTTATTAGAAAATTGTATCTGGTTGCTGTGGTTATTGTCTTCATGTATTGAATCATTTGTTGCTGTTTGTTTGTTTGTTTAAAATTTACCTAAATGTTGTCATTGTATTTTGCATCCTGGGCATTTTTGTACAAGCCAATATACACTTGTGTTGGACAGTGGTTTTGTTTGGAGAGTGTTAAAATTGCCCCGTGAGTAGTAAATTCTCCAGTGACCTCATTAGATTTTTTTTTTTTTTTTGCTTATTTGTTGCTGAGATAGGAAAATGGTGAGAGATGTAAAAATAGCTAACAAGGACTGTGAAATCAAATGAAAAAAGAGATACTGTCTGTAGTATGAGGCCTGAAAGTGAGTTCCTGTATTTTATATAGAAAAAGTTAGGGAACAGATTTGCTTACCTTTCCTTGATCAACACTTCCTGCTTAGGAAATTGCTACATTTGTTCAGGATTTGAAAAAAAAGTCAAAACTAGTGATGATTGGACTTGGGCATTCTTCAAGCCCAGCTCCACATTAATTTTGGCTCCATTAACCAATCTGGGTGTAAAGGGAAGCTGTGAAGGAAAATATTAAAGCTTAATGATCTTCAGAGTTGTTGACTAAAGGATGATTGGGGCAAACAGGAAAGGCATATGCTATAGATCCCATTGTCTTCCTTTTCTGAAGAGCTCTTAGTAATTTATATATACCTTAGATATAAATATGAACTATAAATATATCATAGTTTTTCAGATACTTAATTTTTTAAAAAAAACAATTTTTTAATATTTTTTTAAATTTTTGGCCTTGCTGTGAGCCATGCAGGATCTTAGGTCCCCAACCAAGGACTGAACCTGTGCCCTCTACATTGGGAGGGCAGAGTCTTAACCACTGGACCCCAGGAAAACCCCTTAATTTTTTTCTAAGTGACTGAAAAGCAAATATAGAAAGAAAATGAATGTGCAAGTTAATTACATGTCAAAGACGTTTTACCAGACTTAACCTCATTTGTCCTTTACTATAATATTCTGAAGGTGAACAGAAGCAGTAGTACCATTTCACAGGTACGAAAACTGAGATTCAGAAGGTTAATAAGCATTTGTTCGAAGCTGCACAACTGTGCTGGGTCATGACTCAAACCTAATCCAAGTCTTTTATTACCTCTCTAAGTATCCTCTACTGGAATTCCGGATTTTTACTGCTTTTCTTCCAGGACTGTTTTGATGATGAATAAATAGCCGAAGTCAAGGTGCTTCTTTTCTGGTTAACAAAGAAACAAAAATATGGGATCATGTATATTTGCATAATTACCCATTTATGGTGATTTACTAATACTTTCATTAGCTCTAAGCTGTATGAATTAATATTGTAATTAAGTCTGTGGAATGCACCTTTTACCTTCAGAAACTCTGAATCAGTCATTGATTCTGTGAACGTTATCTGAGCAATCACCCTGTGCTGCCAGGCATTGTGTAGGTACCAGGGTTTGGCAACGACCCCTCCTCTCAAGGAGATAGACAGATTAGTAGAGAAGAAAGGGAAGTAGACAACTTAATGCAACAAAATTGTGTATGTGTTGTGAAGCCAAGATAAGTAGGAAGAATGGGGAGAATTAGAGTTGTAGACAAAGATGTTTTCCCAGCTTCTTATAGTTTCTACCCTATGACAGAACTGGGGTGCCTAAGATTCAGAGCTGATAAAAACTTCAAGTAGTCTTAGGGTGAGGCATCGCTAAGAGAGAAAAGACCCCTTTTGTGTATGAATAATTCTGTGCCCGGTCCTTTAAAGAAAAGATCTAATATTTTGCCTCCCAGAAGCATTCAAGTGATTCTCTCTACTTAGACTACATTTTAGCAGGAAATGGCAACCCACTCCAGTATTCCTACCTGAAGAATTCCATGGTCAGAGTAACCTGGCAGACTATAGTCCATGGGGTAGCTAAGAGTTGGACGCAACTGAATACGCATGTAGACTACATCTTGAGTTAGGTGTACAATTTCTTCCTATTTCTCCAAGTTTCTATGGCTAATATACTAATGTATTAGATTATAGTTACAATTGAATTGGAGAAGGAAACAACAGGAATTTGTGTCTTTCTGAGTGACAGTGATATCATGATATGAAATTACTGTGTTCGGTAGAACCTTAATATCGTGTGGTTTTGATACTTAACATTTCAGCCATTCAACAAATATATTTATGCAGTGATAACATATGCCAGGCACTATCTCGGTGCGTGTGATATATCGTGGACAACAACAACAAAAATTCCCTGACCTTGTGTAGCTTACAGTCTAGTGTGGGGAAACTGAAAACAATGTAAAGATAATAAATAGATAATATTTTACGTTAGAAGGTGATAGGGCAGGTTGAGAAGGATTGGGCTACTGGAGGTAGGTGTGGGTCCCTACAATTTTGAAAAGGTGATCATCTCATTTTGAAGACACCATGTAAACAAAGACTGTGGCGAGTGATGGAAATACCATGTAGATATGTAACAAAGGCAAAGTCATTCCACACGGAGGGAGCAGCCACTGCAAGCTCTCTAGAGTAGGAGACAGTATTTTTTGAGCAATAGCATGAAGGTTAGATGTGGCTGAAGGGGAATGTTGAGAGGGAAAGTAGAAAAGGAGGAAGTAATTTCAATGGAATTGTTAAGTAAGCAGTGGGGTATGGACACTCAGTGCTTGGAGGGAGGTCCATGTGTGAGACTCTCTGCCATTTAGATGATATTTAAGGCCACCAGACTGTTGAGACCACCCAGGGAGTCAGTATAGATAGAAATGAGGAGAAGCCCATGGAGTGAGTGAGGAGTCGCAGAGAACAGCAGAGAAGAGAAGGAACCAGGAGTGCAATTGGAGGATAGCCAAGAGGGTGCGGTGTCTTGCAAGTCAAATGAAGAAAATGTATCGAAGAGGAGGGAGTGGTTATGAGTCAACTGCTTCTAAAAGAAGCTATGGTACATATATAAAGTGGAATATTACTCAGCCATAAAAAGGAATGAAATTGGGTCATTGGTAGAGATATGGAGGGATCTAGAGTCTATCAAACAGAGTGAAGTAAGTCAGAAAGAGAAAAACAAACATCATATATTAATGCACATGTGTGGAATCTAGAAAAATGGTACAGATGAACCTAGTTACAGGGCGGGAATAGAGACGAGAACATAGAGACCAGACAGGTGGACACGGTGAGGGGAGGGTGAGATGAATTGGGAGGTTAGTGTGACAGAGGTACACTACTGTGTGTAAAATAGATAGCTACTGGGAACGTGCGGTGTAGAATAGGGACCTCAGCTCCGCACTGTGATGCCCTAGGGGCCTGGCATGTGGGGGAGGGACAGAGGCTCAAGAGGGAGAAAACTTCTGTGTACATATAGCTGATTCACTTTGTTGGACAGCAGAAACCAGCACATTGTAAAGCGATTACACTCTAATTTAAAAAAAAAATGTTGAGCCCAGTAGTGAGTGTTCTGAGACACTTAGTGATTTTCCTGACGCAGGGTTTGAACGGTGGGTGGTGGGGACAGAGTGCTCCCCTAGTAATTGAGCCTAGTTTACTGCCCAGCAGCCTGCATCTCAGCTGGGCTTTGTTCTCCACTTAAAACATTTTCATTTTATGAGGGAAACTGTGTGCTATACATACATTGATGAAATTTGTCAGTCTCCCAAACATGCCTCTGGGCATATTCATTATTGATAAGATGAACCTACAGAATGCTTGAAATGTACCTTTTAATATTTTATGATGTATATGTAAAAATATGGATACAAAAAGGAACCAGAAATACTCCCAACACCCAGATCACTAAATAAATGTTTATCAAAGTGTCTTTCACAGATAATTACCTTTAGGTTTTTTTTTTTAAATGCAGACTCCTGAACCCACATTCCAGATACCCCCTCAGGTTTAACAGGCTCCACTGATCACTTTTTCACAATTACATTTGAGAAACTCTGTTCTGAAAATCAAATATTTTCATCTCTCAAACCTTCACAATCCTGCCATACAAAAATAATCCAACAGTTTGCCTCTAGGTGCATATATGCATCATTTTTTCCTTTTTCATCTTCGTATATTCCTATGAGTTCTTTGTATCAGAGTCTTCTAATACATGTTTATTCTACCGTGTTAACTTAGACTTCCCTGATGACTCAGCAGGTAAACAATCTGCTTACCAATGCAGAAGATGCGGGTTCGGTCCCTGGGTCAGGAAGATCCCCTGCAGAAGGAAACAGCAATCTACTCCAGTATTCTTGGCTAGCAAATCCCATGGACAGAATCTGGTGGGCTGCAGTCCATGGGGTCCCAAAGAGTCCACCATGACTGAGTAACTAATCACGCGTCATGTTAACTTACTACTTTTCTAGCTCTTTCTGAATAATTAGGCATATGGGCAATTTCCAAATTTCAGCACTAATATATGATGGGGTGGTGCTAGCCATCTTTGCACCAAGAGTTACTCCTCCTTTCAAGGCCCCTTGTTGGTGTATCTTACCTGCAGGTACAGGGCTGGTGAAGGGGGCCTGATCACTTTCATGATTTCATGATTCATGACTCGACAGACTGCCGAAACACCCCCCAAAATATGTAACTCATCTCTTCTTAGTCCTGCCAGTGCTGAATTTTGTCATGTTTGTCACATTTCCTCATTTAATGGAAAAGTGGTATTCCTTCCTAGTGGTTTTAATTACTTCTGCAATTATCAGTGAGACTAACATTTCCCACCGTATCTATTTCTTGTCATTATACCAGATGGACATTTATTTGTTGGGGCTATGCTTGTAGATATCCTTCCCTGTCCTAGGGAAATGAACATTTCTTTAGTCTAAATGAATATATTCTTCATGATCTTGTCCTTAATTTTGTCATTTTTTTGTTTTGCGTAATTTAAATTTTTTCTGGCTTAATTTGACTTCACCTTGCTAAACC